CCCGTGGCTCGTTCCCTCTTGCAGAGCTCTGCCTCATGTCACTTTGGGAAGCTGCGTTTGACTGCCAAGGCTCCCTTTGTAAAATAGTAACACCTCACCACTCTATGCCTTTTTCCTATAGCACTTCACAACATTGTATGTATACTTACTTGTTTATTTTCCTTCCCCAACAAGAATGTAAGCTCTGTGAGGACAGGAATTTTGCTTGTTTTGATGTTTAGTGTTACATCCCCAAGAACCTAGAATAGCATGTGACATTAAATACTTGTTGCATGAATGAAAAAAAGACAAAAGCAAGAAAACAAAAAGTCATGAACACTCTGTCAAGATAATATGACAGTGAGAATATAGATGCTCTCTGGATAAAGGTAAGAATATTCTAATAGTATAGACAGGAGTTAAGGGAAAAGAAAGTCATCTACCCTCCTCTGTTTCCCAGAGGTAACCATACCTGCATGCACTTTGAATTCCATTAACTAATAAGTATATTGGGTGCATGCTATGTGTGCAGGAAATGCTTGAGGTTTGAGGTGCTGAGGACATATAAATGGGGAGCTTTTACTTCCCACGATCTTACATCTGTCTGCAGGAGAATGGAAGGTAGTTTTTGTGCTGCAGAATTTGGAAGCAGGAGTTATTGCTGGGACTGGAAAGGTTAGAAAATGTTTCCTGCACCAGGTATGACTTGATGGGGGTTTGGAATTTGGGCCGGTTTTGGTCAGAGGGTAAGGAGGTGGCTCCAAAGTGTGGGACTTACTCAGCAGAGTATCTAGGTCCGTAATGGAAGGGGCCCTCAGGGAATGTATACAAGTGTAGCCTGGCTGAAGTTAAAGCTTTGTGTAGTAGAGCAGTGAGAGAAAAGAATGGAGAGTTGGGGCTGGGGCAGTGATAAGATTACTAAAAGAGCCAGGAGGCATGTGACAATGACACATATTAGGATTGTGATTGGAAGAGATGCATGCAATTATTAGGGCTTGGGTGATTACATGCATATTTTGGGGTGAGGAAAAGCAAAGGCTGTGATACACACCTATGGTTTTAAGGCTGGGAAATCAGGAAAAAGGTGATTATATGTCCCAAAATAGAGAAACTGGGGGGGGGGAGTGTTTTGAGGACTGGTAAGGTGATGGACAATGGGGAGATAACACTGGCTAGACTAATTGTTCAGCCTTTCTTTGAATATGGGGGCTGCCTTTGACTTCCTCAGCATTGCGCACAGAAGCTAGGATTAAATGCTGCACACAACAGGTGCTAAGTGGATGCTATTAGTGAAGATAATAGCCACTTTAGATGGCAAGCCCTGTTTCTCTTCTCAAATATTAGGTTCAGAGTATCCTCTGGATCTCTATCCCTTTCAACAGAGAATTTTACCTATGAATTGCATGTGCACCTATGAAGAATCTGACTTCCTCACTTTTTTATTTTAAGCTCTTCTAAGGTGATCAACCATCCCAGTTTTCTCTGGGCCTCCCAATATTAGCAATGAAACTCAGGGGTCCCAGGAAAATCCTCAGTTCCAGGCAAACTGAGACAGTTTTCATCTTTCTCAGTTTCAGAATGTCTTTGTTGAACCCACCAGTTGGATAGTAACAGTCTCATATTTTCAATCTAAATTGTCCTTCCCTTTGGTTGGCCTTACACTTTTATTACTCTAATTCCTTCTGAATGCTGATTACTGAGCCTGAGGTGTAGCCCTAACTCTTGTTTTTTGTTTTTGTCTTTTTGAGACAGGGTCTCGCTATGCAGTTCAGGCTGGACTTGAGCTCACTTTGTAGCCTTGGCTGGTCTTGAACTCGCAACGATCCCCCTGCCTCAGCCTCCTGAGTGCTGGGATTACAGGCATGTGCCACCACGCCCAGCCTAACTCTTATTTCATGGTCACTTGAAGAAGCCAGCAAGATAACGCCACTTGATAGCTTTCCACTTTGCAGGAGCTACTTCAACTCTACCAGCTAAGTAATCTGAGATTCCTAGGAGCAGACGAAACCACACAGAATCTGTCACCCTTTAGTTTTCATTGCCATGAAATTCTACAAAGTTCATGAACAGCTAGGTTGGAGTAGGGGAGAGAGTGAAGACACAGAACGAATAAGGAGAAGGAGTCATTGGTGGGCAGCCTCTCTTCTTGACGGGACATTGGTTACATAGTGAGCCACTTGAAGGTACAGTTCTTATCATCATAAAGATACTTTTACAAGGGGCCTAATATCTGGTACTATGAGCAGGGTTTACACAGAGAACTACATGGCTCTGAAACTTCATTTTTTGAACAGCATGGCCAAGACCAGGTATTGATGTATACCCAGGAAAGATGGATTAAAATCTTCAATATGACCAAAATCACAAGTTATATGTCACCATGTGTTCTACTGATTCCTGGATGTCTCTGGCATGAAATATATCAAGCAAATATCTCCTGTTCCCTCCATTATATTATTATCTCCTTGACTGCAGAGGACACCTGCTTGCACTCCTTTCCACAGACTCTAGCTGTACAGAACAAATACAGATGCTCAGGAAATGCTGATTAAATCACACTGACCTGATGGGTACAGGCAGAATACTTTTCAAGTGAATCAATTCTTTAAAGTTTCTTCCTTTATAAAATGGGGATGGTAATTTTTGTAGTCAGGGTTTGCAAGGGAAAAGATATAATACAGGACACATAATTTATAGGATTATTTTATAATGTTCACCCAGAGTCCAATGCAAAAGAGTGCAGGAAATCTGTCCACACACTAAAGATCCAAAGAATCCTGCTGAGGGCCGGGATCCCACAGCAATGTCCTGCACAAATTCAGCTGAAGACCTAGAGCCCAGGGCAATGGCCCCCATGAGTCCTACTGGAGACCAAGTACCCATAGCATCGTCTCATGCAAGTCTGTATCAAGCACTTGCACTGGGAATGCCCAAAGGTCAATGGTGGAAGCTAAAATGCCTGTGGCAGTTGAATGAAGGATCTGTGCTAGCAGGCTGAGGGATCTGTACTGGAGCCAGGAAGTGACCCGAGCTCCCCCGAAAAGAATTGCAGCCATCCTCAGCAACAGCGAGGTCTTGAGCTCCTCTGATGATAACAGCCTATCAGGAAAGCCAGCATGACAGGTTTCTCCAGGAGAATCAACAGCACACCATCTTCCCCTCCAGTTTTCTTTTTATGCTGTTGGCAACAATGCCCAGGTAGACCCTCCATACCCAGCACCACACTGGTTCAGTTCAGCTGGGTGTTACAAGTTGCCCACCAGTTGTCAATCCACCACAGTAATTATATTCACCTCCATGAGTTTGTTGGAAAGATGGGGGGAAATATATGTAAACTGTTAAGTTCATCTATCTGCTTAACTGATAACTATTAATTTCTGCCTCCCCTCAACTTGGGAACTATGAAAAAAGGTGTTATAGCTCTGACACAAATCTGTGGGTATTCAATTCAGCATATAGAGACACATTAGTCAGCTGCCTAATGATAGACATGCAGAATATGAAAAGTGGCGCTGGCCAGGACACACACTTCTTTGTTCTTCTTCAGAACTGGAGATAAACTTCCTACTCCCTTTTGTGCATGCGCCAACTGACTCCCAGTCCTCTCGAGATAAGGCACATTGCCTGCCCATATTAACTGCTTCTCTAGTCCAATCTAATAAAAACCCATTCTCCAGCTCCCTCCTCTGAGGGTTCTTGCAATCTCCTGCAACCCTCCCACTCTGGCAATAAAGGCTTGTTTTATAAACCTCTGCCTCTTGCTCTATCTGGTGCCAAACATAACACCTATATATTGGTGATACAGGAAAAATAACTCCGAATCTGTTAGATGTCAGATATGCAGAGTTCAAGGCCTCACAATATTGAGGAATGAAGTCATGAGCTAAAGGAGGAGGTAAGGAGAGTTTTATTGAAAATAAGAAGACTAGCTCCTGCGTTTCCATCAGGGGTCCTGAGTGGGTGGCCATATGGCCTCTCCATCTAGAGCTACTTATAGACAAGTATTGCACAGCAGTTGCTTTTTAGTGGCTACCTATTGCAGGTGGTTCTGTGAGTTTAAAAAGACCAGTTGGAATTCAGGCTCTCTAAACCCGGTTGTTCAAAATGCAGGATTTAAAGAAAACTGGAAGTTTAGAAAAAAAACCCTGTTATTTTGCATTTTATTTATTTATTTATTTACTGGTACCGGGAATATTTTGCATTTTAAATGCCTCAGAATGCAGGTACTTAGTAGGGAGCAGGTACTTAGTAGGGAGCAGGCACTTAGTAGGGAGCAGCAACACCTCCATTTAGTAGGGAGTGGACTGCATTCCATGCTGCCTGAGCAAGTTTGTTCTTTGTTAAAAATCCTAGTTCACTGTCTCTTAATTTTTATCAATGTGGCTGGTCACCTAACTCTGTCCCAGGCCCTTCCACTAGCTACTGATAAATTAACTAAATAAACTATTTTCTACATTGAGATGAGGGACAACAAAGAATTTACCCTTTCACCCATCTTCTTCACTCCCCTCCCTTGTTGAAGCAGGGTCTAGCTAGGCAGTTCAGGCTGGCCTCGAACTCGAGGTGATCCTTCTGCCTCAGCCTCCTTGAGTGCTGGGATTACAGGCACGTGCCACCATGCCTGGCTTGCCCTAATTTTTGAACAGGGGTTTGATGGGACTGTATGAGCAACTGACTGGGAGTGGAGGTCCCATTGGTGCTTCAGACTGGACGCGCTGACTGGGACTAAAGTTGCCAGTTCAGGCATCTTGTTCAGTCTTTATTCTGCAAACATTTCGACCGAAACCAATCAGCTGCAGGTATTATCCAGGAGTTTGGGGTTCCTGTAATGGCTCATACCCTTGCCTTTTATCACAGAGTTCCGAGGGAGTAGGGCAGAATTCTCTCCAGTGAAAGGAGCAAGGGCCATAATATAGAAAAAAAACAAAACAAAACAAAAAAAAAAAACCGCTTTGGCGCTTGTGCGCAGGCGCCACGCCTCCCGGCGGCTGAACTATACTTCACATCCGCTGACTCCAGTGCGCGTGCGCTGAGCGAGCGACGAGCCTGCGCCGCGCAGCCTAGACCGGAAGCTGAGCGCTGAGCGCGAACCTGCGCCAAGATGAAGTAAGGTTTCAGTTTGCGCCTGAGGAAGGGGGCGTGAGCCGAAGGGGGTGGCCCGCACGAGGTTGGGTGGTAGAGTGTCTGCCCGGCGAGGGGAGATAGCCGCTTGGAGACTACAGCGTCTCCTCCCGTAGTTTTGCTCTTCCTTACCTCGACCGGGCCTACCTTACTTGTCTACGTCTCCGCCCCCTCCCCCCAGCCCTTTAACTAAGGTGAAGCTGATCAACGAGCTGAATGAGCGAGAGGTCCAGCTTGGGGTGGCGGAGAAGGTTTCCTGGCATACCGAGTACAAGGACAGCGCCTGGATCTTTCTGGGTAAGGTCCACATCTTTCTCCAGCAGACATTTATCACACACTTTTGAATCTTACCTGCCCATGAATCCGTTTTCCCTTGTTTTTTCGCCCGTTTTAGTTTGCTCTCCCTGCCGGTCTGTGCCTCTGGGAGTTACTGTTTGCCATTCACCGTGCCAAGAGTCTCTCCCCTTGGTTTCCCAGAGACTGCCGTCATCTCTCCCACACCCACTCACCCATTATACAGCTAAGGAAACGGAGGTGCAGAGAAGTTAATAGACTTCCCTCAGGTCACACAGCCAAAACTTTAAGATTCCACAACGCATGGGCTTAGCCACTATCCTCATTAGTGTGAACTGCCTTTTCCCATCCCTCTTCCCTCAGAATTTCTTTTCCCTCCAGTTAGCTCGTGCTTTCCCTTTATGGCCACATGGCCTTCCCTACATTCACTTTTCTTTTCTTTTCTTTTCTTTTCTTTTCTTTCTTTCTTTCTTTTTTTTTTTTTTTGGTCTTTTTGAGACAGAGTCTCACTGTGCAGTAGTTCAGGCTGGCCTTGAGCTCACTTTGTAGTCCAGGCTGGTCTCGAACTCACAATGATCCTCCTGCCTCAGCCTCCAGAGTGCTGGTCTTACAGGCATGTGCCACCATGCCGGGCCCTGTATTCACTTTCACAACCAGTAATTCTACAGTTTGACTGTTAGAGGTTATCGCACCAGATGTTGTGCTAAGCACTTTACATAAATTTTTATATTTAATTCTTGCATCAGTCCTGTGAGGCAAGTATACTAACGTCCCCATTTTACAGAGGAGGAAAGAAACATTTGGAGAAATTATTTCTTATGAAATACTTAAGTTGTCTTTATGATCCTTAGTTTATGTGTAGGTGGAGTTTATAATAACATAAACTGTTATATTTATGCTTTGTCCATAGGAGTTTGGATATGAGAACTGAATCATAAGATTTCTTTGCTTAGTGGTGATCCCAGCCCTTCTGCTTAGAGTTAATCACTATTTTTTTCTGTTCTGCTGGTACATTATATGTACCTCTGCCGCTGCATCAGACTGACTGCTGTGAGGGCAAGGCTTGTGGCATACTCTTTGTACTCCCAGTGTGTGGCCTGGCGCACAGTATGTAGTAGACTCTCCATTAATATTTGTTGAACTATAGTGTAATTTTCTTTTCTAGGAGGGCTTCCTTATGAACTGACTGAAGGGGACATCATCTGTGTCTTCTCACAGTAAGTTCCTTTTTATTCCCTGCCTCCTGGATCAGCAGAGATGTTTGCTTCCATAATGCATTTTTTTTTATTTTCAGGGTAAAAGAATGAAAACAGATTAACAAACAGACAGACATAAACAAAACAACACCTAAACAATAGAAGCAATACAGAATTTCAGACAAGGTGATAGGAAATTAACAGTGGTTGCTGTATTACGTAATGTTATCTTCAAATTGGTTACTCAGTTAAATGAATATTGACATGTAAGATTGATCAAACAATTAAACAGTAACTGTTCCTTTCAATAAAGCAATAGAATTCAGTAGTACAACTCTCTTAGCTATCCTGTGTATACATTTTTTTCTTTCTTTTTTGTTTTCCCTCATCCCGGTTGTTCTTTTCAATGATACAAAATTTCAAATCAAGATAATAGGAAATTAACAATAGTTAATATATTGCGTTATCTTCAAAGTAGTTTGTGACACTAAAAAAGGTACTTTAATTATAGGCTGAGTAGCATCCCTGCATGGAGAAGCATGAAATTGCTGACCTAGTCTGAAGTCAGTCACAAGATAGTGTTGTAGGGGGCTGGGGATTTAGCTCAGCGGCAAAAGCGCCTGCCTGGCAAGCGCAAGGTCGTGAGTTCGGTTCCCGGTACCGGAGAAAAACCAAAAAAAAAAAAAAAGATAAGTGTTGTAGAATGTTCCCATATAGAAGATCCCAGAAGTTGGATAATTTGGGATGGTGTCTTAGGGATTCTAGTCTACTTGTATTATTTTTTCCGTGAAACTTGTTCAGCCTGGGACTAAACTAGAACAGACTGAAACTCCCAGGAAGGTATTATTTGGCTCATATCTTAGGGCTCCTGAAAATGAGGGATAGCCCCTGATCCCAGGGCCCTCTGGACCTTCACCTGAGTGGCATTAGGGTAAAGCACAAAAGAATTGGGGGTGGAGGGCAGAAGGTTTAGGAAATAGTTTTGTTTTGTTTCTAGGTAAGTGTGAAGTTGAACAGTGACTAGAGCTAGTCTCTTTGCCCAGAAGCTGAGAATCACAGGCTGCTGCAGGAACAAGAATGAATAGGAGACATGTTGTTACGGTTTATATCTAAAATGTCTGCCAAAACCTTGTGTGCTCCCAGGTGGGGCTCGGGGAGTGACTGGATCATGGGTGTGTGATACTGGACCCTGGATGTAAAAAACTGGATCACTCTGCTGATTGGATTAGTATATCTCAGGTTGTGGCTGAATGGATTTACTGAAGATAGACCTATCCTGGGTGGGAGTGGCACCAAGCAGTAGGCTTAGAGCCTAAATGCAATAAAATGGGAAAGGGAAGCCCCGTACTGCCTGCTTGCATGCCTTGAACGGTTTGTCCTCTGCCATGCTGCCCTGCCTTGGATCTAGCTGACTATGGTCTGAGTACAAACTGAGCTAAAATCAACATTTCCTCCCTTAACTTGTGGGCGTTGGATATTTTGTCCCAGCAATGACAAAAACTAAAGTATATGTATATTCTATATTGTGCGATGAGATAACTGCAGCAGAACTTTGGCAGCTCCCATGCATAGTGGCACCGAGTAGGAGAGGCACGGCAGCTGACACACAGCGCAGAGCTAAACAGCATGGCCAGATAGTGCACAGGGCCAGAGGGCCTTGGCAGCCCACAGGAGCAGAGAGGAGCAATGTCTTTTTAAAAAAAGTTTTAAAACCAGCATTTATTTTTAAAATAACATGTAATTGTACATATGTAGGGGATAAATTATGATTATTTGATACATACCTTTGGGTTTATAGCCTTCAGTGGCAGGCAGAGGACTGTTTGAGAGAAGGTGAACATTATGTACAGTCAGAAGGCCATAGCAAAATGTCCAGGGCCAGCAAACACAGGCAACACTCCCTGGCAGAAGGCTTGCCTTGGCCGGGTAGTTGGGTCATCCCATGGGGTAGAGGTCCCTGGTCAAGTGGTTGGGCGATTTGTGGAGCAGCATACCATAAGGAATTGGGCAGCACTCATGAGAAGAAGGCCATGGCAGAGGGGCTGGGTAGCTCACCCAGGTGACTTTCTCCAATTTCTGCATGCTACAAACTTCACACCAGGTGCAGCCAAAGTTTCAGACCTTTGTGGTAGTGGACCCAGCCTTCCATCTTGCAGCTGTTTTTCTTTTACTTGCATTGAATGGTAATTAGTATGTGTGTGTGTGTGTGTGTGTGTGTGTTTGTGCATTTTAATTCTGTATTCTGGCTATCCACATTGAAGGTCGTCTTTGCTGCTGGTAACAATGACTTTCAAAAGTACGTAAAATTATAAAGGCAGTGTATTTATACATGACATTAAGAACATTTGAGGAGAGGGGAGGAGAAAGAACAACAAAGGGTAATGTAGAATGGAAAAGGAAAGGAAAAGCTGTTGGAATTTTGGCCTATTTTTAGTATTTAAAAAATTAATGTTGAGCATTATTTCTAATGGTTTGCTATTACAAGTTATATTTCAGTGTAGACTATAGCATATACATTTTTGTATACATCTCTGATGGTTTCCTTATGAATAAGAATGAGCATATTAGCATTTTAAAGAAATGTTATAAATGTTGCCAAATTGCTCTCTGAAAAGGTTGTACCAGTTTCCACTCTCACTGGAATGCCTGACTTTCTGAATCCTCATCAACAATGATTATTTTAAAAATATCTGCCAAATGGCTTCATTTTACTCCTCCTTTATTTCATCATCAGTGAAATTGGCCATCTTTTCATAGCCCTTATTATGTCTTTGTAAATTTTCTACTCATATCCTTTGCCAGTTTTTTGTGTTTCTATTTCTTGTTGATTTTATAAGAGTCCTTCAGGTGTTAAGGATATTAGCTCTTTGTTATACTTTTTCATGCGTTATATACCTGTGGACTTATTTTTTAAAAAATTGATGTTATAATGCATTACTATAATTATTCATTTTGATGCACAAATTGTCCTGATTTGATCTTTTAGTAGGAGTTGCTTCAATCCAGCTCTTGTACTCTTTTTTGGTGGGGGGTGTTTTTGAGACAGGGTCTCGCTGTGCAGTTCAGGCTGGCCTTGAGCTCAGTTTGTAGCCCAGGCTGGTCTCAAATTTACAACGATCCACCTGCCTCAGCCTCCCAAGTGCTGGAATTACAGGTGTGCGCCACCACACCCAGCTGTACTCTTTTTCTTAATTTTATTTTGAAATAATTTCAGGCTTAAAATAGAAAAGTTATAAAATAGTATAAACATTATCTCTGCCCCCTTTACCCAAATTCCCAAAGTGTTAGCATTTTACCACATTTGCTTTGCTTCTATCTCTCCATATATGGATACTGTTATTTTTGTGACCTGTGTGAGGGTGAGTTGCAGACACGATGTCCATTTATTCCTCAATTATTCAATATAGATTACGTCTAAAACAAGGACATTTTCTTACTTAGCCTTGGTAAAGTGAGCAAATTCAGGAAATAAGATATTATACAACATTGACCCAATATTATTTAATCTGCAGACTTCTCAGCTTTACTAGGTGTCCCGGCAATTTCCTTTATAGCAAAAGAAAAAAACCTGCTTTCTGGTCATTTACTTGTGATATAAATTATAAATATTTTCTCCTAGTTTGTCATTTATCTTTTGACTGTTTATTTGGATTTCTTTGCTGAGTGAAGTTTTAAAAATTTTTATTTATATATTTTAGTATGGTAAAATTGAGCTTTTGAGGGGTGTATACAGCCCTATGAGTTGTAAATCCTGTGTAGATGTGTATAATCACCACCACAATTAGAGTGAAAAACAGTTCTACCACCCCCAAACTCCCTTATGCTTGCTTACAATATAAGGGTGGAAAAGAGGCTTGTTATCCCTCTTGTGCTCTTGCTACTTTTGCTGTCTTCTGCCGCCTTGGAGTGTTGCCCTGTGCCATGCCACCCTGCCTTGGAGTCAGCTGATCATGGACCGAAACCTCCACAAACTGTGAGCTAAATAAACCTTTCCTTGCTTAATTTTGGGTGTTGGGTATTTTGGCTCAGCAAGGAGAGAAAAGTAACAAAGATGTGGTAATTGATTTTTAACTATAACCTTTAGTTTGTTTTTATTACTGTTATTAAACAATAAAATTCCTGGATGTGGTGGCACACACTTGTAATCCTAGCACTATGTGAGGCTGAGGCAGGAAGATGGCAAATGCAAACCCTGCCGGGGTAACTCAGTGACTTGCTAAGGCTGTCTCAGAATAAAGAAAGAGCTGAGTATGTAGCTCAGTGCAAAACCCTGTTTTTAGTCCTAAATCCCCACCCCCACAAAAATCAAAACCACAACAAACAAAAAACAATAAAATTCTGTATGGTTACTGATTTTTTTCTGAGTATAGATTTTGCCATATCTCATAAATTTTCCTGTATTTTTCTCTGATTTTTATTATAAGTAGTCTGCCATCAACTTTTTCCTTTATTTTGTTTCATTCTCTGTTTCATCTAGTTGTTAGCTGGAAGATTAAGTTTCAAGTTCTAGTTGGTAGAGTGTTTTTTGTTTCAAAATATTATTTTCAGCTTTATAACATTGTGATTTGACAACATAGATTTTCCAATTTGTGAGATTTATTAAGATTTACTTTGAGGCATAATGTATAGTCAGTTTTAATATATATTTTCTAAATTCTTCAAAGAAATTATCATCTCCTTGTAGGATTCACAGTATCAATGTATTTACTAATATGACAATATTTGTTAATAAAATTATTTAATGTTATAATTTTATATTAATTTCTATGATCTTATTTCTGAGTGTTAAATTATCTCATAACTGTTTCTCTCCATATTTCTAATAGTATTTTTAATTAAAATTTTTAATTTCTTTACTGTAGTGGTCTATGAATTATGTCCTTTTAAAAATGCAAAATAGCCCTTAGTCCCACTTAATGTTTTTAATTTTGCCTTTAATGTACCCCTCTATCCCCTAAAACTGGGAATTGAACCCAGGACCTTTGTACTAAGCTATATCTCCAGATTCCCCAGTCCTGTTTAAAAAAATTATTTTTTTTTATTGTGAGGAAGATCTGGCTAATTGTCCAGGCAGGGCTCAAACTTGTTATCCTCCTGCCTCTCGGCCTTGAAGTTGTTTTTGTTCTTAATATTGTTCATGCTTTATTCTAGTTTAATATTTTATTTTCAACCTTTCTATGTTATCTTGTTCTGGAGCAGTTTTCTATATAGATTATATTATTTGAATTTTTATTATCCAATTTGAAAGTTTTTATATTTTAAATCATTAGTGTCTTTGTTTTATAAAATAGGTATGGGGAGATTGTTAATATTAACCTTGTGCGAGACAAAAAGACTGGGAAATCCAAGGGATTCTGTTTCCTCTGCTATGAAGACCAGAGAAGCACAATTCTGGCTGTTGACAATTTGAATGGAATTAAGGTAAGTGTGTTTATTAAGCAGGATTTGGCTAGACTTTTCCTGTGTGTAGGGGTTAGGTTTCATTTTTCACCTGGTCTTCGAAGGTGCAGGGACAGTGCTGGTGTGTTGTGAGGACTGCAGAGGTATGGAGATTAACCTGTTGGGAAATGATTCTAGGAAATAATTCTATTGGCTCATGACCCTGCCTGGGTTTGTTTCTTTTTCCCATCTGTTACCAAACCATCTTCCCAGGATCATGGGTACCTTTATCCCCACCGGCCATGCAGGCCTTTATTTTTTACCTTTCCCTTCTCCTTCTCCACTCTCATCTCTATTCTACTAGGGAATGGAGAGACCTACAAATACTGCCCTTCCATTTTGTCCTGTGTCAGGGAACCTAGGCATTCATGGTGGCTTTGTGACTTAGGACATAGCCATGCATGTCTGTTGTATGACTCCCAAGACCTCACCTGGAAATTCTCTAATTAAAATCTAATGAAAAAATTCTACAAAAGTAAGTCATTGTGAAATTTTAAGGCAGTCAGAGTCAAAGAAAAAATATTTTTAAAAAGTTTCAAAATGAGGAATAGGATAGATGATAGAAGTTTCTCAGGTTTAAAAAGGTAAGAATAGGGGCTGGGGATTTAGCTTAGTGGCACAGCGCCTGCCTGGCAAGCGCAAGGTCGTGAGTTCGGTTCCCGGTACCAGAAAAAAACCAAAAAACCAAAAAAAAAAAAAAAAAAAAAAAAAAAAAAAAAGGTAAGAATAAAAATTTGCTCTTGCATTTGGACAATAAAAATTAAACTTTTCAGATTTCAGATGGCTTTGCTTATGGAGTAAGTCTGTATCTACTTGCAAGTAAAATGTGTTTCAGTGAAGGGTTAATTTTGTTGTTTACCTGGAGAAGTGTGGTTTGTAGTACAAGAATCAGTGTGAACTGAGTGTACCAGCATGGTGGGGGTAGAGCAAGCTGTGAGGGGTTTGAAAAAAGAAAGTAATCTCTTTTCAATCCCCCACCCCAACTGTTGGTCTGACTTTGCCTCTTCCTAATTACTGTCTTGAAAAAGCAGCTTTAGCAAAGGTAGACTTCAGGAATTCTGTGTAGACTTTTCGAGGGCATATTTTACTGTAAAGTAATGCTACAGATTGAGGATAATTCATTGTGCTTCTAACTTCTCAGTTTTTCTTGATGCTTGTGTTTTTTTGAAGTCCTTCCCAGTTTTGTTAACTTTATGGCACATGCAGAGTATGATGATATTTGCATGGTCCCACGTGGCTGCCTTGAGTGCTGAGTGTATTAATAGCTAGATATGTGTGCTCCAACACACCAGGTGAGGAGGTTAGCTTTAGTGGTTTCCACAGAAAACAATTAGCATGAAGGTAATGGATGTGGTTCAAACCATGGTTCTCCATAGCTTGGGTTCAAATAGTTTGATATGAGGATTGTCTTTGCTGAAGGATTACCCATCTTGCTTAGATCAAAGGTAGAACTATCCGCGTGGACCATGTGTCTAACTATCGGGCTCCTAAGGACATAGATGAAATGGACAACATGACCAGAGAGCTCCAGCAAAAGGGCTATGGGACTAACACCCCACCACTGAGTTCATCTGAGGGCTCTGGAGATGACAAACCTACAAAAAGTCACAAAAAAGGTAAAGTGTTAAGATGCAAGAGGTAATTCCAGGCGGTCTTAGTGTGTGCTCTTCCTAGTATTCATGTGTAGTTGATAGTCAGCTCCTAAGTGTGGAAGGGGAAGATGTGGAGGGTCCTTATTTTAAATAGGAGAGGAAGGATGTCAGAGAAGACTAGTAGTGTGGGCAGAATTGTGTCCCCTCAAATCGATACGTTGAGGTTCTGACACCCAGTACCTCAGAGTGTGAGTATATTTGGAGATAGAATGTTTAGCGAAGTAATTCAGGATGGGGATTGCCTTGTGCATTGATTTAACATACCAGGGGTGACAGACACTCAAGTTGGTTTCTCAGAAGCACTTTCCTGGGGAAGGTGTGACCATGTTAGAGATGTTTTCCTTATGCACATTTTGTGTCTGCTAGCATGAGAACATTTTTGAATTATCACACTTTGGTTTCACATGATATACTCGGAGAAGAAAGGCACTTTTTAGGGAGTTCTTTTTGTTTGCTTTTCTTATTGATGGCCCCCTTTGTGTTTCCAGACAAAAAAGAAAAAAAGCAAAAAAAGAAAGAAAAAGAGAAGACTAAGCAGGAGGTACAGGCAGAGCAGCCATCTTCTTCTTCACCTCACAGAAGCAGGATGATAAAGGAAAAGGATGAACCTGGCCCTAAGAAGCACAGCAGCAAAACTGTGGAGAAGGTTCAGAAGCCCGAGACCAGAGAGCACAGGAAGCACTACCCAGGCTTCCCTGAGGTCAGGACTTCCTCCCGTGGTGGAGCAGAGGACCCAGAGAAGGAGCCAAAGAAGGACAAACCCAGGCATGAGCACAAGTCCTCAAGCAGGAAGGAAGTGAGAGAAGACAAGTACAGGGATCGAGACAGAGAACGAAGCTCAGACACACATTTTAGCCGGCGCAGCGGGCATTCTGAAGGGAGGAGTCATAGAAGTAGAAGTAGGAGCCGAGATAAATACCATAGGCATAAAAAGGTCCATCACTCCTGGGAGCAGGAGTCCTCTCATCTCAGTGATCGCAGGCATCACTGAAGTCTCCTTCTGCCCAGTTGATTTGAATATGTAATGAAATTCAGTGCTGCTGTTACTATTTGTGTGTATAAAATCTCTGGGGCTGAATTCTTTTAATCTCTTGCATAGATTCGTTGAGAGGGCTGTACTTTCAACAGTCAGATATCCTGAATTTAGCATGAGCAATTGTTGCTGGGAATATACCTGGAACTTTAGAGTATGTGTCCTAAATTTTGATTTGTAAACACGGCCCTTGAACCCACAGATCCCAATTTTAGATGAATTTGCCAGAAAAGGGAAAATACTAGGTAACTCTAGAATTGTAGTCTTTATGTTAGATGTTTAGAAATGAACATTGTATGACCTTTCCAGTTGGCAGATAGAATACGGAAGTGTGGCTCGCTAGGTTCAGATTGTTTCACGTGGATGTGATAAGATCTTTTTTTTGTTTTGTTTTGTTTTGAGACAGGGTGTCTTTATGCAGTTCATTGTGCTCACTTTCTAGCCCAGGCTGGTCTCAAACTCACAGTGATCCTTCTGCCTCAGTCACTGGATTTCTGGGATTACAGGCGTGTGCCACCATGCCCAGTGTGATAAGATCTTAAGAATAGCTAGTTCCAACCCTCTTGAAAACAGTTTTTAAATGTTTTGTTTTTTATTTTTTGGTTTATGTTTTGTTTTGTTTTTTGTTTCTGATTGATATATTTGCATTTTTCCCTTTGGTTTATTTTTATTGATGTGAAATTCATCTGACATATAAGTAACCATTTTAAGCAATTCATTGGCATTTGTTACATTAACAGTGTTGTAAAATCACTGCCTTTATCTAGTTCCAAAACATTTATATCATTCCCACCCTATGTCCATTAAGCAATAACTCCCCATTCTATCTCCCACCAATCTGTTTTCTGTTTCTATGGATTTACTTATTCTGGATATTTAAATGAAATCCTACAATAGTGACCTCTTGTGCCTAGTTTCTTTCACTTAGTAGAATGTTTTCAGGGTTTATCCACATTGTAATGTGTGTCACTACTTTATTCCTTTTTATGAGTGCATAACGTCATAGTTGTACAGATAGACAGTGGTGCTTTGGTTTATGAACTTAATTTATGATTTTGGGAAAGGTGGCTGCACTTGTGTTTGTGTAGGGAAGATGGCTATAGTTGTGTTCGTGACCCAATGCAGTTTGTGAATGGAAGCTAAATTTTGCTGAATGCTTCTGTTTGTGAACCAAATTGTTTGTGAACAGAAGCGTTTGCAAGCAGAGGTATTACTGTACTGCATTTTGTTCATAGATGGGCATTTGAGTTGTTTACACCTTCGAGGCAGAAAGGGTGAGTAGGAAAAGCCCTTTATTGTTCAGTCTAGTTCTAAGTCTGGATCAGCAAAGCAAATATGTCTGTTGGGAGAGGCCGTGCATGCTGGGCCCTGAGCGCCCCTTCATGTTCTTTGTCCGTGTCTTAAACTGCAAGGCTCATCTGTTTCCTAATACTGAGCTATTGCTGCAGAGTCAAAGGGCAGCTAAGTAGGGCCAGAAGACCCGTGCGACTACCGTTTAGCTGTTCATTTCCCGGGGTGAAGGCACTGGCTCATTGCCTGAGAAGTTCCTAGCTCTTGACCTCCGATTCCTCAGCTGCAGTGCAACTCCAACACTTGTAATATCCATCTGAACCTGTTCTATTGCTCTGTGGGACTTCGGGGCAGGAAAGCTGAAGAAACTGTGGATGCTAATATTTGCTATGCTAAAATAAACTGACTTGTTCTAACCCATGAATTCTGTCTACTTTCTATATTGGGGGAGCAAATGGCAGGTTTACTCTGCCTCTCTTTGTGAGGTTTGGAATCTTCCCTGGCCCAAAGTTGCCTGTTAAGGGCAACCATGTCTTGCAGAAATGGTCTACCTTAGTTACGGCTGCACTGAGAGATGCCCATGGGAAGTCTGGGCTCGTTGAAGATGCAGTGATGCGTGGTGGGTTTCAGCCTTGTTGGATTGCAGAGTTTAACAGTTATGGCCAGCAATTATGCTTTCTGTAGTCAGAGATCCTAAAGGCACTGATATGATCTACACTAGGCCCAGCCTGAGACAACCTAGTAGCCTTTGGCTTTCGTTAACCTTTGGGAATAGTGAATGTTTCCTTGTTCCTTTCATAGGTTCACTTCACAGAGGGTAGTTTGAGTTCATTGGTGGATAATTTCCAGTGACCTCAAAGTAAACAACCACACTGAATGAAATACAAAGAAGGCTTTTTTTAGTTAACATGCCTGTTTTATTGACCGTGGCCTAATTAATGTCTGAGTCTGTCTCTGTTCTGCTTCCTCTAACCTGCTGGGGCACTACTTAGTAAGTACCTGTCTTGGCAGTTTATGAACTTGCTGACTCCTAAATTGGCAGTCATCCTTATCTGGTACAGACCATCCCTTCTGTCAACATATTTTGAAGCTCTTAGAAAGGAATAACCTGATCATCATCTAAATGATGTTTTAGTGAAGTGTAAAGCACTCTGCACTGTGCTGTTATGACCAAAGAATAAATCCCAGTCCTTCCTGGTGTCTCTTATTTTATCTGAAAATGTAAACAGAAGATATAATTTTGGGTGTGATTATTTGCACTATGAAGGATTTAACCTATAATTCTTCCTTTACTAAATAAGTGACTCCTGACTTGTGCAAGAGTTACTGGAAACTGCATTGTAAAATAGATGATAAAAACGGGCTATATTTCTTTCAGTAGGAAATAACCAACAGGTACATTTGTGATAAGCAGTGGGCATCAATAAATTAAGCATTACCAGTAGTATGTCATCCAAGATATACTGATCCCTGGATGAATCATTAAAAATACTAAAATCATATACCAGGTTATATAAAGGCCAAAACCTTATGACATGTGAATTATATTACTATAAGGCACTTGTCACACAGACAGAGAGCTCTTGAATATTTAATCTCAAGCCAGTATGCCCTCTATAATGAATATCAAAAAAATTTGGGTACTTTTTGCTGGCTTAGAAATTAGGTGTTTTGGGGACGATTGAAGATGATCTACCTTCTTTAAAGAAGCTGTTTAAAGAAGTGTTACGATAATGCTTGCTTCTGTGCCTCATGAGCAGCTGAGGCATTTGATACCCATTTCACTTCAGATTTGGGTTATAATTTGCTTACGAAGTGTTGGTGATGATTATGATGGTCAAGAGGAAAGCAGTCATTATCAAGCAACTAGCAACAACAAAAAACTTCATATTTAAAAGCCTAAGTTCTTTGGATTTTTATTAGCATACTATACTACCTGATTGATAAATGATAACGTTTACTGTGTAATAATGAATGCACACCTGACTTTATGTACTGTCTTCACTTACGTGTGCGTTTCTCTGTATTCATATTGTCACTATGCCATGGCTATGTAGCGTTCTTTCCTAATGTGCAACACCAGTCTCCTACTCTAATTGTTTTAATTATTCATTATAATAAAAGTTATTTCTATGGAGGTTTTTATATAGTTCTTTAAGAAATTTTTCCTTTCCTTTAGGGTTTCTGTGGGCTAGATTCCCTAAAATGGAGTGGCCAGCTCCAAAAGCACAGATCCATCGCTTGTCTTAAAATTTTATTACTTTTCAGAAATACCAAATTTGAACCATCAGCACTGTAGAGCTCAGGTGTAGTTTTTTCCAATATTCTGGGGAGCCTTGGATTGTGTAAGTGTATTCATTTCTCCTCTGAAAGGTATATTTTGATACCTTCAGGTTAATCAAATTTGTATTTGCTTTCTTTGTAGTCCAGGTACACATTGTTACTTATAGAGCTTTAGTCCTTTGCATTTAAATGGTTACATAGGCTGAAGATACATTTTTGTGTGGCCAGGGATCAAACCCAGGGCCTTGTGCAGGCTAGGCAAGTGCTTTCCCAGTGAGCTATATCCCCAGTTCCTGGCTCTTGTGTTTTTAATGTATTTTTGCTGACAGGTTTTGAATAGCTACAGTAGGCACCTTTCTTCATTATTCAGTTGTGCACCTTTGGACATTTGTTCATTACCGCAAGTATTTTGTAGAGGAGGCCTGGCTGACTTTAGTCAAAGCTATAATTGTGAGCGTAGAAACAAGTGCCACCGGAGTATGGTGACTGTCAAAGAACACACATTGTCTGTCTCACCCCATTCTCTCTTTTTTGCCTGTTTTCTGAAAGGAGGATACTTAGACTCTAAAGACATGTTAATATACTTTTTATTCCACTGATTGTCTCAGGGAGGACTCTTGATCCATTAGCCCTAGTGGTTGCTTCTGGACACCAGAGTAGCATCTGGCTGAGGGAAGGCTGATGGGAAAAGGCTTACTTTTCACTATCTTTTGTACTTTGGGGTTTTGTACTAGGTGAATGTTACTAATAAAATGAATTAAGGCCATATGTAAGATCAGTGTTTGCCATTATTGTGGGCCTTTAAAAACGACTTTATAGGGGCTGGGGATTTAGCTCAGCAGCACAGCGCCTGCCTGGCAAGTGCAAGGTCGTGAGTTCGATTCCCGGTCCCGAAAGCAAGCAAACAAACCAAAAAAACCTGACTTTATAAGTTATGCTGTTACGTGCAGTGAACTTCAGTATGTGAGGGCAGGTGGAAGTGTGAGCGGATAAAGACAGTCAAATTTGGGTGTAGGTGATATTTGGGTAGCACAGCTGCCTGGCATTTTATTTACTAAAGTTCAGATCTAACATTTATACAATGCAGGTACAGCACAAAGAAAATTACTCACCTAAGATATTTCCTTGAGGCATTTTGGATAAGGCTGGGACCTTCCTCTGACCTGGCTTCTTGGATAAAGCAGGCTCTGAGAATAGCGGATTGAGTGATCATTCTGTTTCCTGAGTGGCTGGAGGGAGGCTAGAATGGTTTCAGCACCAAAGTGGTGGTTCCGTCTATGGAAGCTGTTTCTAGCTAAGCAATGTTTGAGGCCCCCTGGTGAACACAGGTTCTGATTTGGCCTTTGGGATTACTTGCCTTGGATGTTCTGGGTGGGGCCTGTCTTTTTTTCATCAACTGTGTTTTGCCAAATATGGAGGAACAGGTATGGCTCAAAAATGTGAGTTTGAGCTGGGCGTGGTGGTGCACGCCTATAATCCCAGCACTCGGGAGGCTGAGGCAGGAGGATCACTGTGAGTTCAAGGCTGGCCTGGGCTACAAAGTCAGCACTAGGCCAGCCTGAACTGCATAGTGAAACCCTGTCTCAAAAAGACAAAAAACCAAAAAACAACACATGCTTGCCCCTGGTCACATGGTTGCTGTGTATGTCTTAAATGGGCCAAGAGGATGCTTGGAGGCTTCAAAATCACTCTGAAGAGTCACATCTGTGCACTGACTTAGATGTCTGGGGACAGACTTTGGAAATGAACTTTCAGGGAGCCCCTCACCTCACTTGAATTGGCTTGTACCCATGAAGCCATGTATTGACTAGATCTTCACTGTAAAAAGAGAGCCACTAGGCGCATGTAGCTATTAAGATTGAAATAAAAACGAACATTTCAGTTGCTTAATTGCATGAGCGACTCAATAGGCAAATGTGGCTTGTGACTGTTGGACTGGAGCGTGCGTATGCAGAGCAATGCCAGCATCACGGAACATTCTGCCAGACAGCACTGAGCCGGGCTGCGCAGGTGAGGCACAATCTCATGTAGCTGGGAGCCACTGTGTAAACCTCTTTTGACTCTTTCCACTTCTACCTAAACCCACCTATCCTTTGAGATTTGGCTCAGTTCTAGTTCTTCCAGGAAACACTTGCTGACCTCTCCGTCTCATAGTGGTGACTCTTTTTGGAATCACCTAGAACCTCTGAAGTACTTCAGGACACACTGTCTTAATGGTACCGCACTTTTGCTTGTCAGGCTATCTTCCCAGCAAGGCTGCAGGGCCCTGAAGGGCAGAGCATAAAACCTGTAGTGCTTGGGAGAGGGATCTATATGTGAGGTCCCACTCCTCTTATGCTAGAATGCTTAGCCAAAGCATCAGTTAAGCTCTCCTTATCTTCAGTATTTATAAGAATTGTGTAGGACAGACACCACGTTACACTTCAAAACCCATTTATTTTTAGAGGTAGTTCAACATGTTATTTCAGATTCAGCAGTTTCAACTTTTAGAGAGTGGAGGTGGGCTAAGGAAGGTCTGGAAATACTGGCATTAAATCCTCAGCACCTTTGATAGAGCTGATGATACCTTCTTCATTACTTTAGAACCTTGTTTAGGGTCTGTGAACCTTCTGGAAGAGAGACATAGACACTATTAGACTTTATGATTGGGACTGTCATGCTAGATAAATTAGGATTCAGCAGGATTTACAGAATAACTTAAGAATTTAAAGTGCTTTTACTTTGTTTGCTCTACTTGACATCCCCATACTATGAAGCAGAAGAGGTCAGGAAGGTCAGATGCCTGGTCTAAGGCCATATCTGTAGAAAATGGCCTAGTTGGTACTAGGGCCTGCTCTGCACTCCCTGGTGCTTTTTGTACCAATTCTGTAGAGCCTGCCTCGCTCATCTTAGCAGATAGCCTAGCAGATAGCCTGTCAAAAAGCCTACTGAGTTTATTCCACATGAAAAAGTAACTTTCAACTCTGTGGTGTGGGCATGTACTTCAGACTGTCCAGGTAAAAACAGCAGTGCAGGTTGGGGCAGGTGGCTCACAGCTATAATTCCAGCACTTGAGAGGCTGAGGCAGGAGGATCACCTTGAGTTTGAGGCCAGCCTGGACTACACTGTGAGTTCAAGGCCACCTTGAACTACACAGTGAGACCCTGTCTCAAAAAACAAACATTAAACAGAACAAGAAGCCAGCAATGCATTGAAAAAACCCATCATTTCTCAGCCAGTTGGGGGAAATTTTCAGTTGATTGACCCTAAGTGATCTGTTTGTTGTGTGAGCTATAAACGACCTGTGTGACCAGTAAGAGTTTCCATTTGGACCCATTTTTCTGCACCACTTGTTTTGTGCATTGGGCCTTTAAAAGCATGCCCTAGTTTACATTAGCAAAATGATTATTATATCTGTGAAAACAGACATGAGCATTTATCTATGTTGCTGATGCATCATGACAGGATGTGATATTACATGAAATAACACAGGGTAATAAAGCACATACTTTGTTCTTTCCAGCAAAAGATAAGAGTTCTCTTACACCTCTTGTGGTTACTTGGTTTTTATCTTCTTCAGAAATACAATCTTGGGGACCTCAAGAATCTAGGGTTCAAGCTAACAGTTGGTAATTTACTCTCTAAATAAAAGGGAAAACCTTAGTTTTTCAAATTAGTTATGTAGTACTGGAATGTGCATGGTGCTTCAAAAAGCAGGAAGAATGAGTTAGAAAGAAGTGAAGAAAAACCCCACATCTACAAGGAACTTGTAGACCAGGGACTGAAAGGGGAGCTCTATAGTCTGAAAAAGCAAGACAAAGACTTTTATTGGTAAGGTTGGGGCATGTGTTACAAGGCTATCTTCTGAAAATCTCACTGGAGGGGGAAAAAAAAACCTTTGTTTTTTGGAGTCAGTGTCTCACACTTTGTAGCCCAGGCCAGCTTCAAACTTGTGATCTTTCTGCCTCAGCCTCCTGAATGATGGGATTATGGGTGTGTACCATCATGCCCAAGTTGAAGCTTTGCTTTTGAAATTTGGGTATCTTGTTAAAAATGCAGATACATGAACCCCATTTCCAAGAGATGCTAAGCAGACAGGTCTTGACATGGGCCAGGACTCTGCACTGTTAATAAACATCCTGGAAAACATTTGAGACACTGCCCCCAGCTCACAGTCACTATGAGATTCAACATATTGCTTCACATTGGCAGGTGCTTGTTATCCTAGGATCTCAGCACACGTGAAGTTTATCCTGAGAAGCACAGTAAACCCTTTGGCTACTGATGCATATTCTGTTCAAAGCCAAATTGCTGAAAACAGAAATCAAGTGGTAGGTGTGGTGTTCACAGTGTGTGGAAAGTAGGTGAGTTAGGTATCATGTTAAAATGAAGCCTGCTTGGTGAGACTGATTCTCTTCGACAGATATCCTGGTGGCTGCTTTTACCAGCTCATAAGCAGAATAGTGGAGTTCATCTGGGTGACACTTGTCACTGTGAAGAGACATACCCGGGATGTGGATGGCTGAAGCGAATGGGCCTTAACGCACACTAAGGGTTAGGGAATCTCACTTCCCACTCTGAACTGATTTCGATTCCCCATAAGTTTGTATTTGTAAAACGTACACTATAAGCTGTAATGGGCATGAGCTGGTCCAGAAGTCTTCTTTTTTTGGTGGGTTTTCATAAACAGGCATCACTGTAATTCTAAATAAATTATTCTCTGTGGGGTTTTTTATTTACTTAGCTATCTTGGGCATCTTAGCACAAAGTTGGTCATTTGTATATTCCTCCAACAGTCCTAGTCAGAGAGAAGAGATATGTCATTCAATTTTGTAACTGCTACCTAGTGAGTTGTTGTATTGTGCAGAGTGCAGGGACAGGGACGAGGTGTGTCCCTGCCAAACTAAAGATACAGAAGAATGTGACTTTACTGCTTGGTTGGTCGTGCAGTTGGAAACCTAGCTCAGATCTTTTCTCCTTGCCACCAAACTTCGCAGGCTCTTCTTGGTCACTGCCCATCCCTGGTGACTGGATATGGCCCTGGACTGGCAGGAAGAAGATGTATGGGATAAAAGCCACTCACCTTGTGTAATTTGAGGCTCTGCTCTGTCATTCTCTGGCTGTGCAACCTCAGGCAGATCACTTCCCTCCTTTTTCTCTTCTGTAAAATGGGACAAGACTTTGAGTGGAAACACAGAATAGGAAGTCATTTCACTTCTGAGACTGGTTCCTCATCAATAAAGTGGAGATAATGCTTCACAGGGGATATGGGAGAAAAGCACTCAACAGAATGTCTGGTACACAGGTGATACCTAATAAGTGTTCTGTTACCTGTCTCCCTCTGCTGTGAGGTTCAAGTCAGAGAACCGCATAACAACCTGCAAATCGCAATCTATGTTTACAGTAAGTAATATTATTTCAGCGACAGGCGGAGGCACTGCATGATAAGAGCCACTCACTCCAGGAAGTGAATAAGCAAAAGTATCTGTTCAAAATGCCGTAACTCAGCTGTATCAGACAATGGTATATATTCTGTACCTGAAATCTTGTCATCTGAGCAACGTTTGGCGTCAAAGACACTTTCACGTTGGAATAAAGTTGTGAACTGCCAAGACAAAAGGGAAACAAACGCTACTGTAGGCCTCTGCCCTTTGTTGGATAGAAACCTTCAAGGGGCGGAGCCCTACTGTAGCATCATGCCCAGTAATTGCTTTGCTCTGCAGTCTTAAAGGATCATTCTCTGGGGCTTTGGTCATTCCTAGGCTCAGCTTTTTCTCTCATCATTCTCACCAATTTTGACACCCAGGATTGGCTCCAGACTTGGATGCAGACTGGGGCTACCTCTGTAGGATTACGTCAAGGACTCAGGTGTGCCCCAGGTTGCAAAAAGTGTCAGCCATGCCTGCCCCGTCCCCGCTGGGGATTGGAGTAAATAAAACATTATGGATCTTCTCTAAGAGAAGGGAATGATGGGGGTGGGAAGGTCTTAAAGGGAGTATAGGTAAAGGGATGTCTATTTTATCAGCCCAGCTTCCTTTTATTGTTTGTCTTTGTGGTGCTGAGGATCCAACCCAGGGCCTCATGTATGCTAGGTAAGCATTCTACCACTGAGCTACATCCCCAGCCCAACCCAATTTCCTTTTAAAGGATTCTCAGCAATGGTGGGGTCCAGAGCAGAAAGTGACAGGATGGGGTTGCAGGAGCAGGGAGGTGGTGGTAAGGCATGGAGATTGGCTCAGGCCCTGGGTTTCCTCTGTGGAGTTTTACCACTTCTTGGAATGCAGAAATAGCATAGTTCCAGAAGGCACAAAATAGGCTGGGGTTTAATGTGACCCATGACCATTTAAAGGTGATACAAAACAGAGGGGGATGTATAGCTTCAGCCCTCATGGCAGATTTCTTAGGGGCAAGGAAAGAGGGCTTTTCTGGGGTTGCACTGAAGAATTGGCCTAACTACAAAAGCTGCTTATAGAGTCAGACTCAGGGCACTGCAGCATGGTTGGAATAAGCACTCCTCTCCCTCAAGCAGGGCCCCTTCCTCTCGGAAGCGTCTATCCCTCTCTGGCCCCAGCAGACTTCTTGCTGGGTGTCCCTGGTGGGGGGGGGCAAGTGCCTCACTCTATCCTCTTTTTCCCAGGGGCTATGGGAACAGTGGCAATGTGTGGAACTGTACTAAGGGGTTACTCTCTGTGCTTAGACAATGACAAGGACTTCAACCAAAGGAGATGACCTCGACAAGTTATTTTTAGGCATTTGGAGCCTGGTCCAGGGGAGAGAGATTGGCGCATGGGCATGGTGAACAATGAGTAGTTCCTGAGGACCACCTAGCGCACCACATCACACAGGCCGTCCCTTGTTTTACCTTGACATCCAGGCCATTTCTGTCAGGGTCCCACTGCATTGCAATGAGGAGCCAGTGAAAACTACTTACCTTAACACTGCTCGAGTCTGGATCTAGGTCTGTAAGACTATCTGTCAGAAAAACACAACGTTAGGGAAGAGTTATTTCTGAGACATGTATAAATTATTGGAACAAAAATAATCTCAATGCTTCCATCAAGAATCATAGCAATTAGGCACACAGAAAAAGCTGAAAGAAGTGAGATCCCTGGGCACAGGTCTTGGCTCTTTCCTCAGACACTAAGAGAGACAGAGCATGATGGGGTGGGAAGGATATAGGCCAGAACGCGGTGGGCTGTAGAGCTAGCTAGCAGCCTTGCAGTCACTCAGACTCCTGGCCTCTTTGTTCATGTGGAAAATGAGAGATTAGGCTGTGGGGGACTTCCAGGAGCCTCTCCAACTCTCAGCTGTAGATAGTTTAAAAAAATAGACTCTTTGTCTTTCTTGTATCCTGTGCCTAAAAGCCTACATTTAAATACTACCTTGTTTAAATTAAGAATAAAAGATCAAACTAACCTTCTGTTATTTTGGCGCTCGGATCTGAGACACGATCATCACTGTTACAGATAAAAGGAAAAAAATTAATTTTTTGTGCATTTAATACGTGAAAGAATACTGGTTAAGTAAAAAATAATAATCTGTCACTGTCATTATTCATATAGACACACACCTGGAGTGGTTATGTATGTGAGTTCTCAAATCGAATGAAAATGATTCCTACACTGATTGAGAATTTCCTGCATTACTAACCCTGAATATTAAAACAAGGATGATGAGAGATAGGGCCCATAGTGGGCCAAGAGTCAAGTGTCCTAAAACAGCATCAGGAGAACACTTCACAGTGTCAAGTGGGAAAGAATGTAGGTACAAACAAGTCCATTTTTCTCCTTATACTTAGCTTCTCTCATGATACAAAGTGCTACTCCCCAATCCATTTGTGAATTCTTACAAATGTTAAGCATAATTTTAGACATGTTGTGGCCATTTGAAGAAAAAATGCTAACCGCATGTCAAGTCTACAGCGTGCTTTGACCCTCCCTGCCCACTTGGCTGCTATAGTCTCTCCCAACTTCGATGGTCTTCTTAATTCAGTGTATCGATCCGTAAGGGCACAACTCAAATTCCATTGCTTTTGAGAATTCTCTGAATGCTCTGGCTTATACCATCTCTTCTCCCCTTGGAATTCTTCTGACAGTTATACTTCAGGGAACTCAGTGGGATCCCTTAGGGGCAAGCCAGTAGTGCAGGGACTATTGTTGACCCAGCTTCCCTAACTTAACTGCACTAACTATACTAAAAAACAGGTCTCAGGAAAAGGAAGTAGAGGCCAGATAAACAGGAATTGGAGAGAAGGTGGGCCGGGAAGGGCAGGGAATTAACCACAGCTGGGAACCAGGGACGAAATCAAGGGAAGACTGAGATCTAAACACTGGTTTCCTCATAGGTGAACTCAAGGGCCTGATTCTTCTCATCAGCATAATTTCTTTCTGATTTCTGTTTTCTTAGCTTTAACTGTACCTGAAATATAAAAGTGAATCCTCTTCATTTTTTGAGGAGGAACTCATAATTTGTTGCCAGATGAAAGATAGTGGTTCTGTGGCGGATCTCATTTCTTCTACCTGGAAAAGTACAAGATGAGTTTTATACAAAGTAGGGTTTGTAATTAATCAAGTAAAATGTCACATTTTCTTTTTTATCTACACTTCATCTACACTTCAGGCAAGGAAGTGATCCTTTGTCATCTATATAGCCAGCACTTCTGACCAGGCACACTGGTCATGGAATCTCAAATGACTTCCCGAGGTACATGGCTGGGGATACATTTGAGAAACTCCCTACTTTTGCCTTAGAAATCCCATCACAGATAGTCGAATTACCCACTTACACTAGATCGTGTCCTTTTCTCCTTCAAGGAAGAGTCTGTGCAGGTTACAGATTTTGAAGTGCACGTATGAACATCAGATTCTGTCCATTGGCTTCGGATTGTTTCAGTGCTTTTTGCGGTACTGGACTCGGGGTAAAAGCATTCGCTCAGTGATGGATTGTTCAGCGTGCTCTTGCTCACTGGTGACTTGGGGGAAGTCAGCATGCTTGCAGTGTGCTTTTTCTCTTTTCTGACCGAAGCTTTAAATGGGCCTCCTGGAAAGCCTTCCTTAACAACCTCTGGCAGAACAACTTTGTCTTCATCTGAAATATACTTCACTTGTACTTTATTTTCTGACTCTTTTTGATCAGTATCAGGAGGCACCAAACGATCTTTTCTGTTTTGCGCATCTTTTAATAGTTCTGCTTTAGTAGTGCCAGGTTTTGCTGCCTGGAATTGAAGAGACAAAACAATTGCTACAGTGATTTCTCTTGTGGTTCATTTTTAATAAGACAACTTCCATATGGTTTCTAGTTCCAGCCTAGTAAATTATCTTCAAAATCTATTTACTTACATAGTAGTGATATACTTGAAACAAAAATAAATGAACACATTAAGCAATATTTGCGTATATACGAACCTAAATATATATTTATATATTTCATTCACATATCATTCCAGCCCAGACAGTACCTAACTGAGGTGCTTTTCTTTGCTTCGAAGTTTCCTTTTTACTTGTTAAGAAATGCAAACTGCACATATACTTCAATTCATCCTATTTTCATCATTTACTTTGAAACACTTTTTTTTTGAGATAGGCTGTCACTCTGTAGTTCGGGCTAGCCTTGAACTCACGGTGTAGCCTAGACTGGCCTTGAACTTTCTGCCTCAGCTTCCAATGTACTGAGATTACAGGTGTGCACCACCACACCCATCCCTTGAAACTTTTATAGCACTCTTATTTATGATGAACATGTTTTTCTGAGTCCAGATACAATCTGAATGCAGACATTTTCAGGAAAAGACAAAGTATTGGCTGACTTGGACTTTTTATCAAGTTTACATTTTTACTGGTACACGCTTGCAGTACAAAAGGATTATATTCTTGTGGGGGAGATGGTACATGTATGTAACACACTGTAATTCCTTTTACATCCCCTTCCCATCCCCATGACTTAAATTTTTAAAAAATGGTAAATAATGGCCAAAACTATGAAGGACTTTGAATAATCACTCACTACTCTTGAATATATTTTCCAAAGAAGCTCCAGAGGATAAAGTTTCATCTTTCCTCATCTCGCTAGGCAAATATCACTTTCTATTTTACAATGTTAAAAGCAGCTGAAGGAAAAGACAGTTGTAATTAACTAAAGGACTGCTCCTGGTTCTGTACCCTTTGCTGATGCCACAGAATCTATAAATTAATTTGAGTTAATAATCTTAGATCTCAACACTTCTTTGTAACTCAGCAGACCAGATTTGGAATGTCTTTTGTGCAAAACAAAATGAAAGGGATAAGTCTGGAAGAAATGGAAACAACCCATTTTGATTATCTGTGCTGGGAGAGGAGCAGCAGTTCAAAAGATTAAAAATAATCATTTTATATGGCTTTGGACTTTGTCACCATATGGGCCTTTAATATGTATGTAATTTGTGTGCTGGGAGATTTTGGTACCTCAAAGCAGAAAATGAAAGTTTGCTGGTGGATTCTGGACTCAGGAGTGTCTTTCAACTCGCTTGGCATCCCAAAGTCATGTACTATCGTATCTACAACCTCCACCTTCAAGCTGAGGAGGCATGGGGCCTTGCTATCCAGATCACTGTAAACTATCTGTCCTAGCTGAGCTGCCTATGTCAGGTTACTTTCCTTAAGACAATTTTTTGCTCCCTTTAAGAGTGGCAAGAGTAGTTGTTTTCAATTAAATATTTTCCTCCTACTTCTGGGCTGTAAAGAGACAGTGAAAGTATTGATAAAGGATGCAAGTTAAAAAAAAAGATAACCATGAATAAGAACTGTGACAGTTTGGCCAGTGACTAAGCACTGCGTTGGGGTAACGTCCTATAGTTTAGTCACACAGATGTGGCCAAGGAATCACTTATAAATGAAGATTTCCTAGTAAATACTAATGCATGCAGAGAGGAAAGGTGGAAAGAACTTCATCTGGTCTAAGAAACGAAGGATCAGGAGATTCCATTAGTGCCTTGGACCATAACAGTCTCCATATTTGGGACTGAAAAAAAGTATCCAACAATGTACTTACCAGCTCTGAGACTGAATTTAGTAAGTTGGAAAATATGCTAAGAAAAACATGTTCCTAGGCTTATGCTCCAGCAGGCTAGCTTTACAGAATTTTACTTAGTCTGTGTTGCTGTTGTTGTTTTGTTCTGTTTGCATTGCTGGGGATGGAACCAAGAGCCTCATGCATACTAGGCAACTGCTCTACCACCGAGCTACACCCCCGGCCCAAATTTTGCTTGGTTTTTAAGCCACAGGTTCCATCCCTAGTATGAATGCACACTGTCAGTGCAAGAGGCTCATTCATACCAAGGGGCTTTGTTTTTTGTGGCCTTGGAGATTGAACCCAGGGCCTTCTCACTGAGCTGTGTGCCCAGAGTTTGTACTTTCTGTTTTGAGACAGGGTTTCACTAAGTCTCTAAATTGCCCAGGCTGGGCTGGAGCTTGTGATCCTCCTGCTTCAGCCTCGCAGCAGGATAGGATTACAGGCATATACTAACATGCCTGCCTCCAAGAGGCTTTGCTATAAAACGAGAGTGTGGGGCTAGATCAGCATAAGTTCATTTCTAGGCAAAGTCTTCTGTAATGAAGGTAATTAAGAACAGTAAAATTGGACTGGGTGTGGTAGCACGTGCCTGTAGTTCCAGTACTCGGGAGGCTGAAGCGGGAGGATCTTTCAAGTTCAAGGCCAGCCTGGGCTACAAAGTGAGATCAAGTCCAGCCTGAACTGCATAGTGAGACCTTGTCTCAAAAAGACAAAAACAAACAAAACAAAAACAAAAACAAAAACCAACAACCCCCCCCAAAAAAAACCCAGTAAAATTTAAAGAGTTTGCAGTCTAATGTTTGTTGATGAATATTGCTAAATAAAAACAGAACTGCTTCAGAGCCTTAGGTTTGTAGATTTAAATGTCTGCTAGAGGCTGATTTAGCTGATCTTCTAACTGGCCCCTTTATGCCCCTATTGTACTATGATAATGTATGTCCATTATAAAGAACTGGGGGAAGCTGGATGTGGCAGTGCACGTCTATCATCTCAGCATTTGGGAGGCTGAGGCAGGAGGATCACTGTGCCTAGCCTGGGCTACATAGTGAGTTCAAGGCCAGCCTGAACTACGTAGCGAGACCTTGTCTCAAAGAAAGAAAAAAAAGAACTGAGGGAAGCTAGGTGAGCTAGTGAATGCCTGTAATTCCAGCAGTCTGGGAGGCTGAGGCAGGAGGATCTAAGTTCCAGACCCCAGTCTGAGGAACTTCATGACATAGCAAGACCCTGTATCAAAATGAAAAATACAACAGGGGCTGGGGATGTAGCTCAGTGCAAAGGCCCAGGGTTCAGTCCCCAATATTGCAAAAACAAAACAAACAAGCAAAGAAACTCCAAAACACTGGAAATTGTAAAACACTGTGTTTCTTTTGAGTTGCCAAATGAGGACTATAATTGCACTCAGTCAGGTTATTGCTAAGGGTATTTCCTTATGTTCTGATTTCTAAAGAAATGGCAGGTCAATTTGATTGACTAATGAAAAATAGTTTATACATCTACCCTGAGCCACGGAGCTGATGAAGTAAGTCCTAGGAAGGTAGAGGACGGTACTGAACTAATCATCAATATTCAATTCTGTTGGGCTGGGTGAGAGAAAATTGACTATACTTTACAAGCACATTTCACAGACCTGTCCACAGAAGGAAGTCACAGGAGGACAACCAAGTCTCACTCCATCCGCTTCCTTCACTACTGCCTTTTTGCACTTAATTCTAATGGCTATACATTCAGTTGTCCAAATATGTCCAGTGAGCTGTATCTTGCCGTCTTCCTCTTTTTGGTAGTAGATGAGTCTGAGTAGAAACTGGCATCCCCACTTACTCATGCTCTTCTCAGTGCTTCTGTGCTAGTCCAGCCCTAGCTAAGCACTCTGCTCGGAGTTGTGCAAGAGACCATATTTTTGTAGAGACAACCCTCAATAATCAGTGACAATGTTTGGATAAATACTGGTTGGTTGCTTCCCATGGTGAGGAATAATTTTAATTGGAAGTTCTTCTTCAATTAAATCTTGATTAAATTAAATGGAGCCCAAGATAGATTAAATGCTAAAAACGTATCAAAGCCTGAGTTCAATAAAATTGTATCTCACTTAACAAAGTCTGTGACAGTTAAAATCTCCAGAAATGACATTTGTTATAGCTGCCAGTCTTGATGAACACTTAAGTACAGAAAGCATAGAATTTTCTATTTCTATGTCATCTATCTTGGGCTCCATTTTAAAAAGATGCTCCTGTATCTTTTCAACAATTTGACTGACATCCAGATCACCAAAGAAATTAGCAGGTAAATCTTTTGAGCTACAGTAAGTCCCTGACTTACGAACATTTGCGTTGCGAGCTTTCACAGATAGGAACGGATCTCACATTAACGAACATTCATAAATGAGAACAAATCACAGAGGTAGCTCACATGTCTGCCAGACATTGTCACAGTTGTGCTGCTGTGTGCTGTGTACGGTGTGATAGTGCAGAGCAGTGCAGTGCTCAGTCAGAGCCCGGGATGTCCGCAAGCAAGAAGAAAAGCAGTGGTGATGTGCTGGGAAGTGCAAAGCAGTAACGATGGAAACGAAAGTGAAAATTATAGGAAATTGGACAGAGGTAAAAGGATGGTAGACATTGCTCATTCCAGTAACATGAATAGTTCAATCATTGGCACAATGCAAGGACAAGATCATGAGCATGTGAAATCTGGTGCCAATGAACTCAACAATACTATGCAGGAAGCGTGGTAAAGTGAGAGAAGAGATGGAGAAACTTCTCAGTGTATGGATGCAGGGTCAGCATCAGCGTTGAGTCTCACTCAGCTTAATACTTACTTGAGAAAAAGCTAAAAAGCCTATTTGAAGACTTGAAGAAAAAACGGGATTAACAGGGTGCATCTTTTACTTAAGACTCACTTTTGTCCTACTTTCAAGTGAATCCAATTTATAAACGTTCTCTTGGAGCAGAACTCATTTGCAAGTTTGGAACTTGCTATACAGTATTTGTTTCTAGTGCACAACTTAAAACTTTATTAATAATCAAAGAAGCCACTTTATTAGGGAAGAAGAGTTTGTACTTTTTATATCATAATAAAGTTCTTCATGTGTTCCATCTTGTAGTACATGATTATACACAGAATCAACAATCTGAGAAATAATTTCTATGTTTTCTGTACTTAAGTGTTCATCAA